TCTTTGTCTGCTAGAAAAAAAGGGTCTATAACCTCAGGCCTTGTATAGATACTCTCTATACAGGTGCCTTCTGCAATTGCACTATTTCTCAGCCTTTTTTCAGATATTTTGAACAGCTTGAGGGACTCATTACAAGGCATGTTTCCGAGGTTTGTGACCTTTTCAGTGCTTCTCCAGATGATAATTTGTCCATATGGACCTGATTTTCATTTGCAGTCTTTCTACTTTTTAAAGAATCCTGTTTCACAAGTCTTCCCTTTTCAGCTTTCAAGCCACATTAGCACCAGCAAAAGGATGCAAAAGCTTTTGTCACTTCTTCATGGGTTTAGCACTTACTGTTATGCACAGATCAAATGAGAATGCAAGGGTTGAGACCTGCTGCAGACCCATGCCCTCTCTTAGGTATTTCCTTAGGCCTTCTTAAGCTCAGACTAGGTGTCTGAGCTTCCATTACAATCCGTTACCATCACTGGGGCACAATTTGAGTTGGGAGCAGCTTAGGGCATCAAAAATGACACCAGGCACTTATGTGTAGGCAATTGCCTTGCCTTGGAGCCCTGTGTCTCCCTGTGAGCTAGACACTTGGGACTTGATTTTAGTTAATGAGGAAAAATAAGTGCTCATCTCTGGACTATTAAAATGGTCCAGGTGACCCAATGTGACCATTGTTGGAAAGGGAGCCCCCGTGGTTAGCTTAGACTCAGATGGCTGTAGAAGAGACATTTGCATTGGAACAAATAAATCTCACACAGGGTGTCAACAGCTACTGCTACAGCTACATGGGGATGAGTAGAGGCCTGAGCATCCCAGATGCTGTAAATATGAATGTCTCTCTCCAAATTGCTCACGATATATATGGGCAGGACATAATACAGGTGGAAGAAGCAGATCCTTTACTGCCTTTTTCATAATACTAAAAAAAAGAAGAAAATCCAGAGCCCTGGATGCATTCTGGTATCACTTATGACATTTATCAGAGCAGGCCATGATTACCTCCTGCTATCACACCTGGAAGTGGGTAGATACTTTCAACAAGTGACTCAGATAGGCCCTAGGCAGAGGGTGAAGTGTAGGGCAAGAGTGACCTGGACAATCCCACTGCTCACGTATGGCCACATATTGCATCCTTCCTGGAAAGTCAGGTCAGGTCTTGGGCCTTTCTCCTTCTACTGTTGACCTGAACTGTATGTGAACTGCGATTTCCAGCTGAACACACTCCATCCTAATCACCACATTTTTGAACTACCCCCACAGACCTCCTTTGCAGAAACTCTCTGAAATATAATTGGGCCATTTACTGACATTGTCTGGATAGGCAAGACACCGAAGAGGCATTTGCTTTGTGAATCTCTTATACTCTAATTATTGTTCAAGCTACTATTGCATCAGAGCCTAACAAAAGAGGCTTAAGAAAGCGAGGAATTAGATATAAATTGTGGTTCATGGGGTCATAGAAGAAATGTAGCACACAAAAAATAACACATTGGCCATCTCTAGTGGCTGTTCTTCAGCACTGGTGCTTCATGAACATCCATTAATGCTAATGTTTCTGACTAAATAGAACTATAAGTCAATTACAGATCCTGTTAGTGTTAATTCATGGTCAATCCATATATTTGTCTGAAGAACCGTTAGGGAATTGGTATACAATAGATTTTGCTTTTTAAGTGAATGGATTTTTTTTAAAGTACAAATACTTGGCAGCTCCGCTATTCAATCTCCTTGAGTTATTATAGAAACACAGTCAGTGATCTGCAAATTAGTCATGCCCTCGTTCTAGTATGATGGCAGCTAGTGAAAAGTCTGAGCCTTTCTATACATTATCTGTTGCCGAGTGGGTATTAAGACAGTGATCAACAGGATAAAACCTTTGAATGAAGCCTGAGTGAAGACCAAACCTTTCTGTGTGGCTCCAGGTACTTGTGCAAAATCAGCTTGCAAAAGCTAAATACAACGGAGAAAATCTCTCCATGCAATGCTGAGACCTATCATGGTAATCCATTGGCTCACACTTGGGAGCATGCAGACTTAAAATGGGTCTAGGTGCAACTTGTCCATCTTAGCCTGACTCTGAACATGAACAAATGTATCCTGATTCTCAGTAGAGCTCAGGAATGGTTAACGTAAGGTTTATGCCTAATTCATGTCCAGCTCTGGAGCCTGCATTGTGCATTGCTTCCAGGTTTACACTTTCACATCCATACTTTCAAATTCCATATTGGCATGGCTTGTTCTCTGACCGGAGGTCTTTGACCAGAGACCTCTTCTTAACCTCTAAACTGGGATACTTGAATGCAAAATTGTTATTGTAGATGGTCTGGGGTCTGTTTAACTCTTAATTTGTGCCTGGGAATCACTAGGGAGAGCTGTTTAACTGGATGAAAACTGTGCCCAGAGCTGCTCTGCACCACCAATGACATTTGGATCAGGTGTTTCTGCCCACACAGACTGAGGTGTGAGTTCAACTTCATGTATTCTTGACTTATGTCATATCAGCCATAGGTAATACACAGATTAGAGAGTCTCCAAAATATTGCGTCTAGAATTTGGATAGGGAGAGACCACTAAGTTTCCTCCCTCCTATGCCTGTTTCCGAGTACATGGGCAGGACGTAAACTCTAAACCATGACTAAAAGTTTGATATGTAAAAGCCACACTTCTTATATCACCTCCTCACCCAGAGCTTATCTCAGCCCATGCAACCGTGTTTTAACCCCAGTCTCAAATGCATACATTTCTAAACCTATCTGGGAGCCCCAAACATCTGTGAAGGTCATACCCAAGTAGATGTGGTAGGATAGACTTCCTGCAGAGCTATTCAAAAAAATCACATCCACTTTAAGTGTTTTCATCCACTTTGAAATCTGTCCTCGTTCTCATTCAGCACAAAACCCAAACCACTGAAGTAATCTTTATAGAATAGTATAGCTCAACACACTGCACTTTCTACAGTGTGCTTTGCTCCCTATCAAGTTCAGAGACCCTCTATGCTGCAGAAGCAGCATCAGGATTGTAACTGGTCCCCCAGCTCCTTACCAACCACTCGAGCATTGGGTTGGCAAGTCACCAACCTTCTCAATCAGCCTCTCAAGGCCAAAACGTGCCTGCTTCCTTGCCTGAATTCACTCTGCACTTCCCAGAAAACTGTCCATCAGCAAAACGCTTTCCAGCAAATCAGAAAATTCTGAAGAAAAAAACCAAGTCATCTGTTTCACCCCTGAACAGCTCAAGCACTAGCCTAGGGTATGTTTCTGTCTTGCTCCCTTTAATTCATGTTGCAAAACATTTCTGCCTGGGCAAGCTGCCACTGAAAGTGGGCACTTGCTAGTTTATGAGCGCAATTGGACATAAAATCTTTCACATTTCTGGTTCATTTCTCAGTCTTCTCCAACATACTGCAGATCAAAACAGCACCTTCGTCAGCTTCTTGAATACTGGAGATTCATTCTGTTGGGTTCAAGTGCTCTTGCTGTTTCACCAGCACAATTCAGATATAGGACTTGGGGCTCAGAAATACGTCCTTTAATCATGCTAACATTATCCTGTGGCAGTTTTGGTTTTATTTTTGATTGAATTCAATGGAAGGGAAAGTCACTAGGTGGATGGCTCCAGAGACAGATGCTCTCCCGTTAAATGAAGAATGATTTTACAAAGCAGAGCTTCCCCTTGGCTGCCCAGCTAAGGACTGCAGCTCACAGGGGCATTAACCCCAAATCCTGCATCCTGCTGCCCTTGCCCATAGGACAGGGGACAGCTCTCGTGGTTGTTGGTTCGGTTCCCTGCGTATCTCCTATAGGATGAAGCTGCGCACACATGTCTGACCATCTGTCCCACTGCAAACACACACACACACTCTAAGAAAACTGTTGGCTGGTTCCCAACATGCCATGAAATAGGGTTAGCAGAGGAGAGAGACCTGTTTCCACTGGAGAAGAGGCTCCAGGGGGAGCTCAGCCCTTACTCAACACTGGGAGAAGGGATGAGGGTTAGATGTCCTGCAAGCAAAGGCTTCTTTCGGCTTTCAGACTTTATCGGGCAGAAATCCTCACAGTTCTATTTATTCTGCAGGCACAAATCGTGAGCGAGGTTTTTCCTCCTTGGGTTTCGTGTCAGCTCTCTTCCCTGAGCGGGTTATGATATCCACTACGGCTTGAACTCGTTGTAAGAGAAGTTCATCATCCCATGTCACAGATTCATCACAATCGGGTTCCTCTAGTTCTGCCACTCACGGACAGACCTGTCATGGTACTGAAGGACCCTGGAGCAGCACCAAGACCTCACAAGAAGAAATTTTCTAGCATTCAGACTCCCAACTGGAATTTTCCAGCCAGTTCTTCTGCTTTGACCCTACTAGACAAAGTTTCCTTTCTCTTTCCTGTATTTAATCTCAAGATAGGGTAGCACTGCCCTGCACCAGGCTTTGGGAACCCAAGCAGGAGGAGGAACCCGCCAGGACCAAGCTGAGCCCCCTCTGACGTGAGTGCTCTGCTCCCACTACCCCAGTTGCTGCAGTCTCTGTAAGAATTTTCAAATTTCCATGGGACAAAAGTCCAAACCCTTTTGCCTGAAGCCAGACTAGACTGTCCACCATCCAAGGCACTTCTTAGGAATCGCTCACCTCCATCTCCCTCCTTTCAGGTGGCCATTTCCCATCCAGAGGAGACATCTGTCTCTTAATGCACGTTGTGTGTGGTGGGGTCCATCAACTCCACAAGGTGTTTCAGGCCCCATGGGGTTATGTCCATAGAGCCATGGCTTCCTCCCAACCCCAAAAGGCCTGCAAGCCCTTGGGGGTCAATAGACATTAACTATGCACTAAGGCTCTCAGCCAGTTGCTCAGATCCTGAGCTTCTTCCCTCGGTCTCCTGCAGAGAAGCATTAGCAACCCCAGGAAACCGTGGAAAGGATCAATGTCCATTCCTGGAGCACCGGCAATTCTCTTTGAATTTCTCTGCACCCTCCCTAGGCAGCATGATGTTCCTAAAGCCGCATTTCTTTACCTGGCAGGCGTCTTTCCCTCCTTCCTCCAGGCCAGCACACAGCATACCGTCCGCGAGTTGTGGCACCCACTTCGAGCACTGCTCCTTGCTGATCAGCTTCACCTCCACCTTCTGCAGCACCCGGGATGCTGACACTGCAATCCCTATCCACAGTGAAAAGGGAGGGGGGTGTTAGCAAATCCTGTCGAACAACACACTGCTTTGGATGAAACCCCAGCAGGATGCTAGCCCGCTTCTACCTGAATTTCTAAAGCATCTGGAAGCGAGAGGGTTGCAGGGCACAACTGTACGATCCTGCGGTCATGGGGACTTCCAGGGGCTGCCTAATGTTGGCAGTGAAAAGTTTGTGCTCCTGACAAGAAGGGTAGATAGAGCAAGCGTGGGAGGCAGGTGTTAATGGGGAAAGATGAAATCCAGGCTGGATTTCACTGGAGGCTAGCTAAACCAGATTAGAAAATTCCTTATTTTTGCAGCTGAACTCTGGGATATGGCACAGCTGGGGCACCACTTATCCCTTTGATGCTGGAGATGCTCTGAGTGAGGTGCATTGCACTGCTCTGGTCTCACTCATATTTCCGGGGGACTCAGGATGGGAGGCCAAGGAGCCAAGTGCATTGAACCTCTCCTGGAAAAGAAGCTCTTGTTCTCTTTTCATCCTCAGCATCTCCTTAACATCTCCTTCATTTCTCCTTTCTACTTGGTATCATCCTTTCCTGGGCGGTGGGGGGAGCTGTGAGGCCATGTCTCACCCAGGAGACTGTCCATCTAATTCCCAAAGTGATGCTTAGAAGAAACCATTTGGTTCTTCCTTGAGGTGGAAAAATAGAAATCACCAGATGCAATAGCAAGCAGGGAAGAGACCAAAAATATTCATGGCTACATGGAAAACCCACTCATTTCTCCCACATTTCTCTTCAGAACAAATCTGAATCTGAAAGATAAAATTGACGTTTGGGAAATGTTTGAAGAAGACCCACACAAGTTTCAGAAAGTCACTTCTTCCATATTTCACCGAGCCGCATCCTCCCTGCTCCTTCAGGAAAGAGGGACCCAGATGTAGTATCTAAAAGCTGGAAAGGTGTCGTGTCTCTTTCCCAACATGTGATACCTATACAGAAGGCAGCCCACGGACTTTTTTTAATGTAGGCATCTCCATGGAGGTGGCTCCATGTGACTTGATGTCTCACTGACTGCAGTTGAAGGAGAGTCACTGTCCCATGAGGTACCACTTGAGAGATGCCCATCCACAAAAGGAGATGAGAAATGACCCTTTTTTCCCCCACCCAGAAGCAATTCAGAGGGAGTGAGGCTGTGACCAACATCACTCAACAAAATGTCAGGTTGGGACTCAGTTGTGCTTGCTTAGTTGCCCACTGGTTGCATTTATTTGCACTGGTGTTTATCACCGCAGAGCACAGTCCCCCATAGAGACCACTTAGAGCATGTAACCTTGGTGAAAAAGGAGAGTTGCATGGTGTTGCATTGTGTTTTACTGTGACATGAAGCAAATGAAGGATAGGGAGGAAAATGTTGAGGTTCAGAAGGGATTTAATATCCCTACAATACTGAGTAAAAAGGATTGAATGGCAGTGTAACTAACTGTATCCCAGGAAGGTCTTTTAAAGCCCCAAGGCTTAAGCACTGCTCACAATGTCCTAATTGCCTCTTTCCAATACTGAAATAGCCCATTAGCCTTTTGTTGATATTTGTTCAGAACAGACATTCTGGGTCACGTTCATTGTCAGAGCAACTTTCATTAGGGTTAAACCAGAGCAATTAGCAATGGCAACCTGCTCTCCTGAATGAAAAGGGCTGGCCAGAATCCACTGAATCGATCTGCTTCACGGAGGCACTAACCCAAGGACAACCCTAGACCACTTGCCCAGTAACGTGAGGCTTGGCTAACTTTGGGTGCTGAAAAACACGATCGAGAAAGTTGAGTTCTTGGAGAGCCAAGATGGCTTTAAGGTTTCAGCCTGAACATATGTGCTTAGAATAGCAGGTACTTTTCTCTCTGGGCTCGGGAGATGAGCGATTCTTGTGCTAAACTCAGAACTAGTGGATGCAAAGAGGTTCAAAGGGTCTGGACGTGTTTACAAGGGAGAAAGGGATTTAAGTCATCATTGAAATCCCTCCCAGGGAAAAACTTTTGCTTTAAGTGAATATAGGCCGGCCTTCATTACCAAATTCCTCTCCTGACAGTCTCTCACCTGCAGTTGTGGTTCCCCATCCAGCAACCCAACAATCTTTCCATACGTGGGGATCACTTATGAAGGGCAAGCAGACGGGCATTTTCTGGTCATTGGGTTCGATGGGAGATTCAAGCAGGATCAAAGCAATATCATTTTCCAAGCTCTCGGTGTCAAATTTGTCGTGGAGAATCAAGGTATTCAGCTTTTTTCTTTCCAGCTTTTGGCTGAGGTCTATTCCCCCCAACACAACAGTGAGATCTGGAGGCCTTAACAATGAAAGAGAAGCAATATATGTATTAGAAAGCATGAAGACTGTGGAGAAGACTTGATGCCGCCACCTCCTGTGTAAGGTAGTGGTCTGCAAATGGCAGCAGCAGCGTTATCTATAAATATCACTTAAATTCACCCTCACTTCTAGCCAAGAGCTAATTTTCAGGGGGAAAGAGGTGCAGAGGCAGCACATGAATGTAGAGAAGTTATAAATAGCCCAGGCGCTAATGAACAGATGGAGCCGACTGCTTGTTCAGGATCACTGTGTCCTGGGCTGGCTGCTCCAGACCTCTCTGCCACCAGCCAGCTGCTCCAGCTCAGTGGCCACAGGCCACTTGTCACCATGTCACCACGCAGCCCCTCTCAGAACCTGCTGTGTTTCAAAGAGGGGCTCATAGAGATCTGGATTCTGCTCCTGGATATTGCACAGGGGTGATTTTTACAGAATCTGTTGGATTTATATCAGATTTTCCTGCAAGGTGAAGGTGTTTGCTACAGGACGGCAGGGGTAATTTTGAGGTTAGAAGAAGTCAGAACGGAATACGCCTGCTTTTTTCGTGTTATTGCAATTGGTGTAGGCACACAGGAACTGATTGTGGAGGAAGAAGGGAGCATAAACACATCATGAGCCCTTATACTGGCCTGCTGATACCATCCTTCAAAATATCCATCTCCTGGATATGCTTTTTAAAATTTATTTATTTTTTATTATTGTTGCAATCATCTCTGATAAAAAATGGGTCTGTTTTCGCCAAAGGAGATGATTCCTATTGGCAGGTGTCTCTTGCTGTGGCTCAGCCACTTGTTCCATGTACTTCATCCCACGGTCACGAGTACCCTACACTCATGGGGAGAAGGGTTGTGGCCCCACTGAGCCCTGGTTGGCATCGCTTCGCCCGAGTACTCACAGCTCTTTCCCAAAGCAATGTGCTGAGGTTAAGATCCACCAGCTGCTGATGATGGTGCCTCCACAGAAATGTATCCCCTTGGTCTGGATGCTCACTTGCCAGGGGAAGTCACCAGCCTCGGCATCTGTCCCCCCTATGATCCTTTCACCTCGCCTTGGAGGAGGCTGGCAGGGTGCTCTGAGGCCACACTCTAGGCACAAAACAGACAAATTGCTGAGAACCAGGTCTGAGAACCAGATGAGCATGTACATCCTCCATCCTGCATTAAACTGGCTTGCTTGGGTACCACCAAACTCAACCCAGGTCAGTTTTCACCACGTGCTGGGTGTATTTTGTATGCCTTGGTGTTAGCCAAGCCTTTCTGCAACATTTCACACAACTGGGCTGCACCATAGTTGTAGCTGGGCAAGCAAATAAACTGTCCTAAGAAAGGGAGCATTCAACAAAGCCTCTAAACAATTTGGTGTAGTCACCATGGTTCATGGAAACCTCAAATGTTCCAGTGTCCCAGCTACAAGGAAAGGGAAGGTAGGTAACAGGGTTTGGTTCTGCCTTTTGGAGGGGAGGTCTTCTGCATAGTGAATTTCTGCATTATAAGAGCTGGAGAATTTCACTTAATCAAGTCCATGCATCAAGCAGTAAGTCAGGAAGAAGATAATGCTATTGTCAAGACATTCAGTTTCGATCAAAAGAGTTCAGCTGGTGGAGACTGTGACAATCTAATCTGATTAACCCAATTGCAGTTTCCATCCTCTAGATCTCATGCGATCTTTTTTCATTGAGTTAAAGGACTCCTTCAATCAGAATTCTCATCTTCATTCATATAGGCATTTATAAATTGTGACCAGTTCTTTCATAACCATTTATTTGATAACTAAATTGAGTATATTCAGTCTCTACACAGTAAGGCAGTCATTCCAGAACATGATTTATCTCTCTGTCTTTTTGAAACCTCTTCTACCTTGCCAACATTATCCTTGAGGACAGGACACCAGAACTGGACACCATGTTCACTAACAGGAAAGATGCTAGCAATAATACCTCTCATTTCCCACTTGTTATTTCCTCTCAAAGGCTTGAGTTAGCTGCCTGTGTTGCATTTATCATCTCACCTAAATTTTAGACATCTAAAAGATAAAAATCTAGAGTAAGCAAACCTATTTTTGCAGTCAATGGAGAGAGTGAGGCACCTGTAGAAGATGATTCATCCCATTCTAAGATAGGCATCTCTGATAGATGAAACAAATTTAGATAGATGGAACTCCATTTAGACTTGAATATATCTTTTAGGTTAGATTAGACTGGAGGTTTTTAGCTGGCTAAAGCGTGGTAAGCTAAATTCCACCTATATTTAGAAGGACCACAGCTTAGATATCATTAGATATCCCATATCCAAAGATATATATCCTGGATGCTGGAATTCATGCATGTCCATGGTAAATAAAGCAGCTAGTGGAAAGAGCACTGAAGTGATGACTTCAAATGCACCACACGTGTGAGAGTTCTGTGGACACAGCAGGCAGTACCTCACTGTCTCCACTGGAAATTATTCCACTTTTGGGAATGTGAATACCGATATTCACACGCGTACACCTCACACCTGAAAGGGCTTTTCCAATAGAAGGTATTGAATGCTTCAACGTGGAGCAGGGCACTGAGGAGCTTGTAGCCCATACATCAGGACCTGCCTCTCTTCTCACTTGTACTAAGACTACAGAGGCTAGTGAGAACTACCAAGTACGTTTATAATAACCCACTTACTTGCATGAATGCTGCTGATCAGAGGAGGCAAAAAACAAAGGGCAAGGAACAACATTCTGATCCCATTCTAATCCAACGCTCTTTGACCATGTTCAGAGCAGTGAGACTTCTACAGACACCTCAGGGCATCACCCCACTCCCTATTCTCACCAAAGGCAACAAGTTCCTCTGCTAGAGGCCACCAGGATATTCCTCGCAGAGGTGACATCACACAATCCACTTGTTTCTGCTGACATCACAGTTGAATACTATCTTTTCTAAGGTGATGGAAAGTTCATGCTCTGCTGGCCAACAGCTTAGCCATTTCTGAGAGCTCTAAAGTCTGCTTTGATGACAGGGATAGGAGAGAAGTGGAAGGCCTGCTGGGATCCTGGACTACATTTCATCAGATATCGTAATGTTGGACCGGTTGGGTTCTATATTTCTTTATTTGTTTCTTGAACCATATTCGCTTTCTAAAGACTTTAGCTGCCTGCTGGTCCTGTGTCAGTTTTTGTCTTTGACTCTAAGAAGTGTTGAACTTCAAACTTTGAAGGAATTCTCTCTTTTTTTTTGGCAAGCTGCGGGCAAGGACACCTTGCAAGGCCCAAACCCATCTTACAAAGCCAATGCATTAGGCTGAATCACTGACATCCTCCCTGCACAAATTTGACCCCGGGTGTTATTGACACCTTCAGCAACAACTACAATGAATGCAGGACCAAATTTCCATCCTGCAGTGATTTCCTGATTAATTTGAGATGGGGCATAATATATTCGTGTGGGCCAAATTTGTCATCAATAGACCTATCTATGTTGATTAACAAATCCTAGTACTTTATTTTTTTAGGGCAGGAATTGAATATCCCATTGAGATTCAGAGCTGAGCCCTGCTATATTAAGGACAGAACAGTCCATTCTTTAAAGACTTTCCACTCTTGCATGGACTAGGAGAGAAAAGACAGAAGGAACTGAGCAGCATTTTATAAGCATCTGAACAATTTGGTGTATGAAATGCTTTGCCTTGTACATTGGAAGAAATCAGAATTATCCCCCTGAAGTTTGAATTACACAGAGGTTAAAAAGGCATAGGAGTGAAGTCAGACTATTCTCATCTCTTCTTTGCTTTTATGTCACCCCATGCCTATGAAATTAGATGAAAGTGCTGGTTTCCTTGACAGTGAGCAACAGAACAAATCAGTGGCACAACATGTTAACAACAGGCATTCAGTTACTAAGGCAACCAAAAAATCCCGAGTGTGAGGTGGGAACATTTCGGGGCATCTCGAGAAAGAGCCTCTCATGACAATCCTGCTGGCGTTAACTCTTCTCGAGCTTGCCCCAGGTATAATCCTGCTAAAAGGACATTAAAAGGACAGGTTTCATCTTGCTCTGAGACTCCACTGAGCTAAAGGCCAGTGAGGAGCGAAGTATTCCGAAGGGATAATTTGTCTGGCATGGACTTGCTGCCCATCTTTGGATAAACCACACAAGACTTTAGCAGTGGATTCTGGGCTCCACAGTGCAAGAGGGATGTGGAGCTGCTGGAGAGAGTCCAGCGCAGGGCTACAAGGATGATCAGGGGCCTGGAACATCTGCCCTATGAGGAGAGGCTGAGGGAGCTGGGACTGGTCAGTCTGGAGAAAGTGAGGGTGACAGAGCACTGGAACAGGCTGCCCAGAGAGGTTGTGGAGTCTCCTTCTCTGGAGATCTTCCAAACCCACTTGGACGCAGTCCTGTGCCACGAGCTCTAGGTGACCCTGCGTGTGCAGGGGGTTGGACTAGATGAGCTCTAGAGGTCCCTTCCAACCTTAAGTATTCTATGATTCTCTGATTTATATGCTTTATGTCTCCAGCATTGGAGGCTCACGGGAGACTCATGGCAGACTCTGTTCCATGGCCCTTAACTATTGTAATCAGCAAGCTGGGAGCAAGGGACAAACGTGTCATCATTCCCACTACTGAAGCTCTCTGTCCAAGATCCAGATGGGATCCCCTACATCCTTTGGCTTTATCTTTTAGTCTCTCCTTTCAGAGACGCCCACCAATAGGATGGAGATGATGGTTTAGGCTATTTCTGGCTCTCCTGACTCTTTTGATTGCACATGCATTGGGGCAGAGACTGTGCCACATATTATGTTTGTACAGAACCTGCTCTTGGTGAACACCGCTCTTGGTGGGGGCTCCACAAGCTATTGAAGTACAAATAAATAATCACAGGAATGATTATGTTATAATGCACCCAATGTGAATTCTACTGCTCTGTACTGTAATGCACGATAATACAGTTTTAAAAGCCCTAGTGTTTAATTAGCAGTTTGAAGCCCTTTATAATTTTTGATGCTTTTTTCAGATCTGCACAGACATATATTTAGAGCCATAGAATACATCGACAACATTTTTCATTTTTTTTTTCAATTTATTGAGACGTAGGAAACAAAATTGAATTCTTTTTGTGTTTATACACTTTTTGGAACTGTCAACAAGAAATATCACAGCACAGTTTTTATCCTTTTTTTCTTTTACTAAAATTGTTTCAGAAAATAGGCACTAGAGGTGATATTTAGAGGTGATGTTTATATGTTGCTGTGAAGGTGATATTGTGAGGGAATTGCTGATCTTATAAATTCGCCATTCTTAACCACATCAAATCACAGTTTTGATAGTTTAGATGATCCGAACTATTATCTCCAAAAGCCAAAGCTCTCATAACATGAGCGAATTCATTAAACCAAGGTGATAAATATGCCTATAAGCATTAGCTGCATGAAGCGATTAGCAGGGGCTCCCCCTAATTAGGCACCCCCTAATTCATCTCTTTATCAACACACCAAGGCAAACTTTAAAAAAATCTGCTTTTCTTTCCAAATCACAAGATTGCAAGGAACGGCACAGAGCGAGAGGCTGTGAAACAGGAGCTGTTTCAGCCTCAACTTTGGCTTCTTAGGGTCTTTGCATGCAAAGCGATGCCAGCCACTCAAATTAAAGAGCGCCAACCCTACTGGGTGCCCAAATCTTTATGGACTGATTCTTAGGGTCATCCACTTGATTTATTCTTTTCCAACAAGCCCCTCATGCAACGATGAGGCAGAGGCATGAGCGGATACTATTTATTGATCCCGATGGGGCAGGACAGCCCCGTGCCCCCCATCCCGCAGTAGCCGTCGGGGTTCTTGCTGAGGTACTGCTGATGATAATCTTCGGCAAGGTAGAAGTCCGGAGCCTCCCGGATTTCTGTTGTGATGGCCCCAAAACCGCCCTCCGTCAATACCTGTCAAGAAACGACATGGAAATCCATTAGGGGTTTGTTGGCTTCTCTGCTGATGGATAACATCAGGTTTCCTCTCGCTAGGAGCTACAGCCAACCCTAGGCACTGGGATCGCAGTTATAGCACAGACCTGTAAGTCCCTTATCTCAAGTCTCGTTTTATTAAAAAGGAGACACTGTGGGCATCAGAGATGCATGGGCTGAGAAAACACAGTGCACAATCCTCCGTTAATGGGTGTTTATTTAATTTGCTCTTCTCTTTATTAACCACTGTAGACAGGGACATGGTGCCAGCCACAGAAGTGAAAAACAGGAAAAACAGATGTGAAAGCCCATAGAGCACACTATGGTCTAGTCTGGTCTTGCAGGGGTCCAAGAACTTCATGTGTTGGATGCCTCCACTTTGATACATGCTATCAGCTCCAAATTCCCTGATGTGAAGTAGTTCTGCACAAAATCTCAGCCCCACTGATGTCAAGGGGCATTAAGAACTAGGCTCTTTCTACAGAATCATTGGAATCCCATTCTCCAAAAGGAAGAGTTCCATCATGACCACAAAGGTATTTTAAAGGCAAATTATGGCTCATTTCTGAAAGATTTGTCAATCCATGGGCCAACAGCAATAATCACCTTGTAGAAAAAGAAGGAATGTGGGAGAGGATTTTAAATTAGACTTCAATTTCTTTCTGAAGTTTCCTAAATGAATTCGAAAGGCCTCAAAGATTTCAGACAGAGGAAGCTTTCCCTTTATACCATGATTTTTTACCTACAAATTTCTTTCCTAAGGAAAAATATAAAACAACATTTCAGAGCTAATTCTCATTTTAGTAGGGACACAACCTGTGCTCACTGAAGTCTGTGATAACCTAAAAAGCACTTTAATGGTGTCAGACGGGAGGTTTTTGCTGTTGTAAAGTATACTTGTAAAGTGCGGGACATAAATAGAACGGCATTGCTATCAGCCAGACTTGACAGCAAGATCAACTGAAAGAACAAAGGGTTAGCATTTAAGATTGCCACACAAATATGCGTTGTCTCATCATACTGACAAACAAATAAAAACAAATCATCACACCGAATCACAAAAACTGAGCCGGAAGAACCTGTAGTGAGTCATCCAGGCTAATGTCTTTCATGAGGATAGAACTAATGATAGGTCTACTCTCAGCAGAAATTGGTTGGAATGTTCCTGAAAGATGTCCAGAAATGAAGATCCTCAACTTCTCTCAAGTAGTCCATTCCAATATTCACCATCCTGTTAGAGATTATTTTTCTTAAAGCTTAACCCTGGTACACCTACAACTTCCATTTGAGGCCACTATTTTTTGTCCTACTCATCATGAATGCAGAATTTATTCCCCTTCTCTCTACAAGTCTTAGACATCCTTTGTGGCTGGGTAGAGAGAAGGGTGGCATGTAAGGGAAATACCCTATCTTGCCTCTAGATATGAGCCAACACAAGGATTGGAAGGCAATTTTTTGGGATCAGGAGCCTAGGGATACCTGGAACAGGGTTTCCTAGACCCTGCCTCAGTGCAGCTGAACCTGACCACAGCCAGAAAGCAGATGCTAGACTAAGTGAAGTACTGATTTATTCTGCTAATTTCACTATCTAGGGGATATATTTTGCTGTATTCCATTTGCAGCTAGAGAAAAAGTAACACATCCATATAAAACCCAAGACCGACCTGTCTGTGGTGGTCCTGAGTTCCTCCTAAATTCTCAGCGTAGATTGGGAAGAGGCTGACAAGCTAATTCACTGTGAAATCCTGTATTTCAGCATGGAGAAATAAAAAAGGGCAATTTCCCTGGAATTTGTTTTCTGCAGTGAAATCACTAAACAATGTTCTTAATCTACGGGACAGGTTTTGCGCTAAGGGAATCAGATTATTTGCGTGTCAGATGTACGGGTGAAGAAGACAGAAACCATGAAGATACGTATCACAACAGGACCGCAACAACAAAAGCCAAAAGACATCAACTTCACTGCTTGTAGAACGCAGTATTTCACTTACTAACATTTCTAGCGAGGAAAAGCACTTTTAAAATAATCTTCACCACAGAAGGATGGCACAAACTCTGTCATCATGGGCATTAGTCATTTACTTGTTGCTATAAACTTATGTAAAACTGGCTTCCCCCCTTGTCTGAGTCATGGGGATGCTGCTGGAGCAGTGGATATTTTTCCACTGTGCAAAACAGGGTTTGCTACAGATTTTCACCCGCGACTTTTCCATCATTGGCCTAATTTCGTGGCTTAGAAAATCCATTCTGTTCAATAACATACCACAAGAGGGCATAAACACCATTTATCCCTTTCAGAATTACTAGCAGGCTATTAAAGCATCGCAAGGCGAATAGCACAGAAGCCCAAGACAACTCATTATATTGCACTTTGGTCATTAGCAAAAGATACCAGCACTGTTGTCAGAAGCAGCAGGAAGCCCAGGCTCCGACACGCTGCCAAACACTACCTTGCATGTTTTGATTTCCAACGGGAAAATATTTTCCTCGCACTGACTGTGTCAAAGCAAAGATAAAAACATCACTGGGAAAGATGATGGAGTTCACGACGCGCTGGCTCCGGCAGGTGTAAATCAGCCCGTGCTGATTGATTTCCTGCCGCCAAGGCAGATATAATTTGATGATCATCCTGTTCAAGCAGACTTTTTAGTCCTTGCTGTCACACCATTCCCGAGCCGTTCGACGTGAGCTCCCATTTGGATGCTGCTGCCAAAAGGGCTCGTGCAGCCTTTGAATGCAGAAACAGAGCAGAGCGGATTAGGGAGAGCGGGGTTAACCCTCGACACCATCTACCCAGTGCGGGGATTTTTTAAGGTACTGTTGGACGTTATTCCTCCCCAATATTGCACTGTAATTCAAATGGAATGAATAAATGAATGAATGAATGAATTCAAGGGAATTCTTCGCCAGAAGACCACAATGATCCTTTAACTGATGATAATCTGTACCCCCCAAGACCTGCCAGGTTCTCCTGGAGAGCAGCCCAAACCAAAGCAGATTCCAAATCCTGCCCAGCTAAAGAGGACCGGGAGGATTTAGCCATCTCTGGATGTCAGGATAAGGGCTAGAGTAGAAATACACTGGAGTCAGCCCTGGGAACATCCTCAGCACAGCTACATTTTAAACCTGTATTTACTTTTGGCACACAAAAGATTTTGTTGGATGAGTTTCTTCAATTTCTTATGGACTGTGAAAGCTTTTTCTTCATGTTTGCTTTAACCTTGTTGCCTCACCATTTCATTACTTCCTTTGTTGTGAAAAAATAATTCCTTATTGACCTCCTCCTCAGCAATCCTGATTTTACACCTCTACCTTAACCCTGCTCATTCATTTCTTTTGCAAGACTCACCAGCTTTAGCTGTTTCAACTCTTCACTTCATAAATCCGGTCAGCCTTGGTGCCCTTTTTTGCATCTTTTCTAGTTCTATTTTACCATTTCACTGAGATGGGGTGACTGGAATTGCACTCAGCATTCAAGATCACCGTGGGTTTATTCAGTGGTCTGCTTACATTTTCTATTTTATTCTCCATCTCTTTCCTAGTAATTCTTAACATTCCACTTGCCTTTCTGACCTCTGCTGAGCACTGAGCAGACGTTTTCAAAGAACCATCTGCGATGACGCCAGGACCTCTTTCGTGGGCTAATTTAAACCCTATCATTGTGTCTGTACTTGACTTTTATTGACATGGCATTTCATCAACTATTTTATTGCCCAGACATTTGATATTGTCAGATTTTTCCACAACTTTTTGCAGTCAGGTCTACTTTTGCTTACCTTGAACAACTCCATACTATCCATCGGCGGATTTGGGCACACAACTACCAAATGACCCTCTTTTCCAACCCTCTCATGACTATATTGAACATCTCAAGAGAGAGGGTAAGTAATGTCCCTTCATTGTGAAAAGTGCACAGTGATTTCTATCACTTATTTACTATTTACAATCAGTTGTTCATTCAGAAGAGAAACTTCCCTCTTACTCCATGGCAGCTGGCTCCCCTACCTAACCAATTGCTCTCTTCAGAGAACTATACTGTACGTGCAAGACATGAGTCTTCTCTGCTAAAGTCACAGGGACCCTTCTCTGAGTCCATATGTGTTCATTACCTTCTCGTAGCTTAACCAATCTGCAGGGTAAAACATCAGATTGACTTGTCTATAATTTTGCTGGACCATCTTGGAGCCTTTTTAAGCACAGATGGAGCCCACCTTTCACTACTTTGGTAGCAGAGCTACCAATTAAAGCACAGCTTACCCAGCATGACTATATGGTAGACTACCAAGAAGCCAAACCACCCTATCCAAAGGGTTATTCTTCAGTTATGTGCAAGCAACTGCATTTAGCACGCAATATTTCTTCACCTTGATTTGCTGCTGCCCTCTGAACTGTCAATAACTGCTGCTTCAGCTTTTTGTAGCCAGCTGATTATACAGAGCCAAAGTCTGTCAAAATATTTAATCGTTTGACAGCGCAGCATCGCAGCAGCACGTTCAAGGTGTTTGGCTCCTTGTTTATATTCAGATGAAAGCAGGTAATATTTGTAAAGAGCCTTAAGAATTCAGAATGAACTCTACATGAAAAGCCTGGTTGCCTTGTAGCTTCAAATAATTTAAGGAATAGATTGGAAGCTTTGATATACTGATACTTTGATATGCTGATATACTACACTGAAAACTGGTTCATGGAAGTTTGGAGGAGGGGTAGAACCCACTTAAAAAATCTGAAAGGAAAAGCTTTAAAATTGGTTTTGTTAAACGAAACCATTTAATTTTATGAGCAGAGGCATTAGAGTATTAATTGGTTTCAAGCATTTTGTGGCTTTTAATAAAAACTGCATCATCCTGTGTTTGATTCCGTATGCATTTTAAAAGCAAGCTTAGTGCCTGTACTCAGGCCACCGTGATGATCCAGCTTCTCCCACATCTTAGTGAGTTGCTCTAAGCTCCTGTATTTCTAATGGACCCTCTAATAACACA